TTCACGCTCATATCCCTTATTTTAGAACTAACCTGGATACATTCGTGCTCACATTTTTTTAGAACTTACCCGGACAAATTCCTGCACGCATTCTTGGTTGGGAGACGACGAATATATAGATAGAATAATTTTTCACACACATTTTTGTTTATCTTCTATATCTCCGTTCAGAAGCTCCAAACGAAAAAAACGCAAGAATAGTTTTTTTTTACGCGGATTTACATAGATCTAAGTAGATATAAAGTGATACGCAAAGATTTCTTATAATAGATTTACGCAGATCTAAATAATTCTGCACAGATCTAAGTAGATCAGCGCAGATTTACTAAAGAGAATCTAAATAGATCTACGTAGATCTAAATAGATTTATTTCGATCTAAGCAGATTGAAGCAGATCTAATATGGTAGATCTAAGTAGGTCTAAAGATAAATAAAGTGCAAATTTTGCATAGATCTATTTACATCTAATTAGATTTATTTGGATCTAATGACCTTTTTTTTCCTATTTTTTTTATTTAAGGAAATCTCGTTAGATGTAAATTAGATCTACTTAGATTTAATCCATTTTTTTTCGGGTATATACAATAATCTTATATAAGTGTGTTTTATGTGTATGTGTATATAGATTTTATATAGATAAATAGATATTTTTATTGGCCCGTTCTGGGTTACAATTTTCACAACAATCCTTAAAAACTATCTTACATCTATATGTATATAATTTTATATATACAATTATATATAGATGTAAGTTTGTTTAAGGTAGTATATGTAAGTTGATTGTGAGGTGATTTAGATGTGTAAGGTAGTTTTTAAGGATCGTTGTGAAAATTGTAACCCAGATCGGATCAATAAAAGTATCTATCTATGTAAAATTTATATACACATTAAACACTAGTATGTACTGTTACATATTATGTAATTGTATATATATATATATATATATATACATATATATATATATAAAATTTATACATAATAAGTAAGAGTATGTATATTTTACCAATTATTAAGATATTTTATTAAATGTTTTATAATAATTTACGGATCTGAATACGTATCGCACAACGTTCATGGACTTTTACACTTAACTGATGATATTAAACAGTTTGGGACACTAGACAATTTTAACGTTTTTCCGTTTGAAAACTTTATGAAAGAACTAAAGCAAATCGGAAAAGCCATTGTAACAGATAAGTAATTGTTATAGAGAAAGGAGCTCGTACAAAATACCATAGCAAAACGAGAAGAAACCACATTGGCGTCAAAAAATGGCATTATAACGGATCGTTAATCGACGTTATATCAGGATGTTATAGTCCGCAATTTTTTGAAGACATTTTCTTAAATTATACGCTTACAATCAAATCTTTTGATAATTTTTGCTTAATAGATAAAGACAGTTTGTTTGGAAAATATTGCAAGCAACAGCAAGCAACGGTAAATATGTAGCAGTAGGTCTCCTAACAGCACGCGACATACTGCGTATCATCCCATTTTCATACTCAATATACTGTACTCATCCGTAACGTACTGAGATATAAGGATAACGTCATTTACAGTAGTATTCGGTTTTCTGTCGCGCGCGTATGTTCTCAGGATGTACGCAGTATTATAAAAGTGATACGTACGCCTTTCTATCACGCGCGTATATTCTCAGGTTTAACTGAAGGTACATATATCAATGCCATCCTTAGACCATATATACACAGTTTGTCCGGAAAGTTCCCGGACTGATTTTTTCTAGCGCGGGTAAGCGGCGCTATCGAGCGGTCAACGCTGGAACTACT